CTCTCTTCTGTGTTCTCTCTCACTCGCGGCAATGTCCCTCTTCATCGAATACTCGTCCAGTGCTTATTGACGATTCTGTCGGCTTTCTTTCTTACTCATTTCAGTTAGTTAATTACTACTTGTGGAACTAAGTTATATTCAGATCTCAATGCCCTGGGTGCAAATGCTTCATGTGTCTTGAACTGGAACCTGCCCATTTTTTTCTACCAACGATTCTCCTCGAAGTCAAATGTAGAGCATTCGTAATATTTGATATTACAGTTCACCTTATACAACAATCCTGAGACGCGCTTGGCTGGTCAACCTGGCGTGAATGGAGTTGCAACAGCGAGAGGTCTAGCCCTGCTTTTTCAGCTTACCACAGACGGAACGCTCCTTTCAGCAGAAGGCAGAAAGGTAAAGATTTCGTTCTCGAAATGCAGAAGACTTCAAACGAATGAATTAGTCACAAACTGCGTTTTTTGTTTCCAATTAATTTCTCTGCTTGTACGCCTTGTTTATCCTTTCTCAAATTCGCTGCCACCTCTGTCCCGAACATTACCCTTTCCTTTAGCAAAACTAGTTCTCAACTGTTGTTGACTTTATGGAAGTTCTTTTTGCTCAAATAAATGATAGATTACCCAACGATAGTACCGAATTGTTTCCATTTCAGATGATTTCCGAACCTGTGTTTCCAAACGTATATGACCACTCTATTGGCGAAGAGCAAAATAAAGGGCACGGATTTATATACACTCGAAGTCCTACGGTAAGCCGTTTCTGTTCTGTAGTGGGAGACGGTCCAATTGCAGAGTGGGCCATTCACGTGATTTAGCCATTATTCGCTGTTATCTTTCGCCGACAGAAAAGTACTCAGCGACTTTTTTCGACTGGAATCTTGTAAGAATCCAGGGTGAGGAAAAGTAGGGTAGATCAAAATGAACAAGCTTGTACCACTATCTCATCAGAAAATTGTTAGATAAGGGGCGTTAAAGGGCGAAGTTGATCAAGTGACTCCATCCGGGAGCCGTACGGTACAGCATCGGGATGAAAAAATCCCCCTCCCCCGATGTGCTCTTGCGGTACATCCCTTTTTGCCCCATCCTCCCTACCTTCTTCTTGAGGTTTCCCCACTTCCAATAGTTCCCAGTGGTCGAGTTTTTTCTCCAGTTTTTCTCCGTCTGCGGAGACCCTCCAAACAGCTCGCATGACCTCTGAAAAATTGCCGTCGGAGAGGGATGCCCTTCAGCCAGTTAATAGGAGGATTCACTTGTGATGGGTGGGCATTGCTCAGCGACACGAGTCCTTAGCTTGTACAGTCTCGTGCATCAGAGTAATAACTACTCGTCTACCTTACTCGCATAACGGTTTGTTATGTCCGGTATAACAGTTTAAGTCACTTTGCCTCATTGACTTTGGAGGCGCTATAAATTACACTTTATAAAGTTCTGGTCGGACATTTTTACTACCATATTGAAGAGCATATTAAATACTATCACGACTCTCCGCCACAGCCTTCTGGACAAACGCCATCGAGAGATTCTGGCACGCGACCGCGATGTGGTACCTGAGATCAGCGGGGTAGTCGATTTCTCCGCCACCGTAGACCACCCTCTTGAAGTCCGCCCGAACTAGGTAATTGAGTGGGTTCAGGTCAGGGGACATACTTCAATATTACATCTTCTTCAGGTACGAAACGCCCTTCCATTCGAAGTAGGCGGGAGTTTTTCCAAAACCCTTTGATTCCATGTGGTGGCACCCAAACCTGTAGCAGCACAAGGTCTCCAAGAAGGTACGGGCGACCACATGTAGGGAGGATATTCTTCTCGAGTTACTTGATGTAACCGCCAGCGCTCACCTTCAGTCGGGGTCTACAAAGAAAATATCGGTCTTCCCCTTTCCAGGTACCCCGGTCCATACCATCAACTCGCGCCTCGGCGAATACGGTGAAGATGATGTCCTAGACCGTAGCGAAGTTGACGAAGCTGCTCGATGTGGGAGGTCTTGCAGATCAAGAGTACTGACCTCCAGGTAGCTATCTTTGTGGATGACTTCATTCAAGAAGTTTCGCAGCTGTTTGGAGGCGACGTGAATTCCAAAGGTGTTCTCCAGTCAGGCCGCGACTGGAGATGACTTCATATTTTGGTGTACATGAAGGCGATTGGCGGCAGCCTGCTCCAGCTTATAGGAAGATCTTGGGTATCTTCCACCCTGGTATTCATATCCACTTCCCCTGTCTGGGCTGCGAAAACTTCGTTGATATGTGGCTCGGCCGAAATGACTTTTTTTTGGCCCCCCCCCCCCTGTATACTTCGGCCACCTATGTTAAAGGCAGAACCCGCAATTATTCGCCATCTCAGATCGTGGATTAGGGGTTTCCACATAGACGACAGGGGGTTTTTTTTTTTTTTTTTGAATAACTCGGACAGTAAAAAGGAAAAAAAAACACAAAAATACATGCTACCCGCCCCAAATCAGACCATTTCTGATCCCTGAATTTGTACGTGGCCCAATTAAGCTCTATATCGCCACTGCGCCCTCATGCTAGCTGACTCACCGATAAGAATTTTACGGTTGTACAAGTGACGATTTTCATGCTTTTTCGTTCTGCAATCTCGTTTTTCACTGAAAGCCGGGCACTGGAGGCGGAGTCTGGAGGCGGAGTCACTGGAAAAAAGGAGGAACCACTGAACCTATATTGCGCTATAGCGCCCATTCTTAGAATGTTTGTTCAAGCAAGCATTGACAATACCGATATCACCATACCTTTGTATTACTTGTTTTCTAATGCTTTTTGTCGCATGCCCGTTTCAACAAGAAGGCAGAGAACAGCTCAAAGAGGGTGACACACTCATACTGGCTGACACGCCCAACCGTCCGCAGCGAAGTAGAGTGTACTAACCGCTTACTGCGGAGACCCTCCAAACAGCTCGCATGAACTCTTCCTCTGTTACGGTGTTTTACTCCAAAGGTGAGGCAAAAGTCTGCGAATTACCATTATCACTTCGCCAGCGCTTCAGAAACGCGGCACCTACGCTCAGACGTAGTTTCGTACTGGTTCAGCACGTATATTAGGTCGTTTGCAAAGAAATGCAGGATTTTGTTTTTTTTTGTATTTAATACTTATTTTATTCCAATAAAATGTAAGTGTTATATATCATTCGAAAGCTTATCTAATGCTCTTTCTAAATGATACTTCAAGATTGGTTGTAATTCTTTTTAGAGGCCACGAAATCGTTGAAGGCGTTTTTGGCATCGTCTTGGTTTTTGAAGCATTTCTCTTTAAGATAGTTGTCCAGATGCTTGAAAAAGTGGTAATCGGTGGGCGACAGGTCTGGTGAGTATGGTGGACGAGGCAGAGTTTCATAGCCCAATTCGTTTAACTTCTGGAGGGTCGAGCATTGTGTTCGAGCACACGTGTGGTCGGGCATTGTCGTGGAGAAGAATAGGTATTGACCAACCTTGGGCACATGCGTTGAAGCTTCTGATGCATTTCGTCGATTTGTTGACAGTACTTCTCTGCCGTAATTGTTTCACCAGGATTCAGGAAGCTGTGATGGATGAGACCGGCGGCAGACCACCAAACATGAGGTTCATCTTCAAGGCTGGTGTTAGAACGAACTTTTCTGGAACCAACGTTGGACCGTACATTCGTTGATACTTCCCTGACCCCAAACTTCGTTGATGTTCCGAGCTGTCTCGGCAGCGTTTCGGCCTAGCTTGAACTCATAGAAAAAAATAGTGCGAAATTCACGTTTTGACATCTGCAATAAAACGTCAATAAAAATGATAATGAAAAGAATTACAACCAATCTTGAAGTATCATTTAGAAAGAGCATTAGATAAGCTTTCGAATAATATATAACACTTCATATTAAAGTAACATTTTATTGGAATAAAATAAGTATTAAATACAAAAGACGCAAAATCCTGCATTCCTCTTGCAACGACCTAATAGTTCTGCTCATTTAGTAAAGGAAAAATTGTTAACGAAAATGATTGCCTGAACAAAAGGTATGGTCTAGTTCGCTGCGGACGAAGGGGCGTGCCAGGCGGAATTGGTTTGGCACGGGGCCAAACCCGTCCTCCACTAGCTGCTGACACGAGCAAGTGACGAGACTGTATCACATCGTTCGTAAATCCACCTGCGTTCTTCCACCAGCGATTGTTGCATACCGCTTCTGTCGTCTGGCCAGAGCTGCCGCTGGCAGCACTCATAGTGGCGCTGCACACTCCCTGTCGTCGCCGCGAAACCTAGAGTATAGAGGACTTTCTACTCTGCAAGGATTGAAAAAATTCAATAACATCCAAGAGAATTTGATTTCTTCAGGGCTCATGGCAATATGGCCACATGGGTATTGGTGGTCAGGTAATCCGTTGCGATCCAGACAACGGTCTTGTATTATGCTATCTTACGAACGCTATGAAAGCCGGAATCAACGAGCATACTTTCACCTACAATCGATTACAGAAGAAAGTATATGAATTAATTAAACAACAGAATCTCTAAATTTCTCTGAATAAAAACGTCTCACATTACAAATGCTTGTTGCGGAATATGTTTTGATCATCTCTAGAGTATGTTTTGCATGTTTATCAATAACGCCAATTTCGTTCTATACCAGTTCCACTGTAGCGCACAGAACAGCCGCAGAGTACGATCGAAGTCTATGGTTTGCTATTCAGACCGTGAGAAAGTTATTCCTCTTCCGATGGTCGTAATTATGGACAAAGAATCAGTGCGTAGGTCGAATGGGTGGCGTATTCGCCCGAAACAGGGTACAGCAATCGTTGCCGTGAAACACATAAGAGGGTTCGTACTTTTCGGCCGGTTAGGGGGTTCGTGTTTGGTGTTTGTTGGGAGGGGTGGGTGGATCGTACGTGGGTGGATTTGAAAGAAACGCTGCGTTGAGTAAAAATTTTTCCTGGTTGCTGACTTTTCGCGTGATTTTTCCTGTTTCATGTGTACTATCCTGTCTTCCCTCCGCTCGACAGCAAAATTTTTGAGGAAAAGTAGGAAAATTTTCGGTGAAATTCCGGAAAAAGTGGTAGGAAGTTAGGAAGGATCTAAGAAGTTTCCGGCTCTATACTTCTGCCGCTCGACGGAAAATCTATGGGTGAAAAACTGGAGTCGGAAATTGGTAGGTACGTGTTGAGGAAGAGGGGGGTGGGTTGTACTGACACCCTATCAGGGAGGGTCAACACATCACCTGTTCCCGGAAGGATGCACAGTATCAAGAACTTTGGTTCATGCCTTTTAGTAGGGGAAAAATTTCTAATAAGGATCCTTTTACAGGGGTATAGGTATAAATGATAGTCCACTATGATCCAGTTGAGAGATGACAGCTTCAGAGCAGCACCTAGTAGCTTTTCCTGGCCCTGACTTATGATCGGAAATGCCACGCAGCAGCCTGTCTACGTTCCCCTCTCGAAATTTGGGAATGCGTTCATAACGTGATTTGATTGCACTTATCGCGTGTGTGATTTGGTCGCTCTGATTGCACAACCAAGACAAGGGCACACCCCTAGTAATTCTAACTTATCGCGAGTTCGCTGTGAGGCATATTTGATGACAGTGAAGTCAACGTGTACAACCACAATTGCGCTGCTGTGCCCTTGATGAGACCCTCTGTGGCGTTTTTGCGCTCATTTGCATTCGTGTATGCCCTTTTCCTTACAGGCATGCTGTACGCTCATCTCCGGCTTCATATGTGCGAGGTGAGTGGATTCGCAACTGCGCTGGCGCGGCACTCAGAAGATCAGAAATGTTCGGGAATAGAGATGGAGGGCAGTGGCAGCCGGGTGCCGACTTCATGTTCCGCCACCTGCGCACTGTGCAGC